AGTTCGTGGTCGCAATTCGCATGTTGTGCGTGTAACAGAGCTGTTGTGAAAACAAGCGTTGTGTCTGTAAACTGTCATAGTCGTACATTTTGGAGTTGTACTCTAACAAACACACAAAATCTCGTATCTGTAAACTGTCGTGGGCGTAGATTTTGGAATCCAACTCTGACAAAAAACAGAATTACATACAATACTTTTAAATTACGCACGAGTAAATTAAAATGACACACAAATGCTTTGAATTACGTACGATTATTTTTGACAGTGATTTTATTCCATAATTTTGCCCTTCATGACAACTGTGAGAGGGTGATTTATTTTTTATTTTTTATATCTCATCCGTTTAAATTATATTAAGTCTTAAGGTTCTGCATAATTAAGGGCGTGGCCACTTGAGTGACAGGTGGATTGCTGCTGCTGTCACCACTGGTGAGCTAGGTGGGCGTGGTTTCAGCAACCAGCTCCACCCACGTCCTGCCTCTTTGCCCATTTTAGATTATCCAGGAGTGACGCTCTGCGAAGATGGCGATGGCCAGCTCCGCCCACTTTGGGCTTCAAAAATGCTCTTCAGAAACCTACGGGTGACATCACGGACACTACGTCCATGTTTTTATACAGTCTATGAGGGAAACCCAATGATCATGTGCTTTATTGGGAATGATCCAGTGAGAGTCTTGAGCTTCAGTGGAAGCAGAACATATGACCTGTGTAAGGTGTCAAAAGATCAGTGTCACAAATTTACCTTCTATTTCCATTTGAACTTACACTTTTGACATTTATGCCCATGTTATTTTGTCTCATCTGTATGGGATTACTGATCAGACTGACTAGCATGTACAGTACCAGTTGCATTATGTAATCTCTTACTTGATTTTCCACAGGCGAGAAACAAGCCGCAACTCATGTCTCTTTGGAGCAGGAGTTTGACCGGGATCTTTCCCAGCTGTGGAGGGAGTTGGAGGAGCGGGTCGTCTCAGTGGCGAATAGAGGGATGGTGCCCATCACCTTCCAGCCCTCCCAATGCTGCCTGAACAGTCAGACGGACAACCTCAGATACCCCCTCGCCGTAGTGGAGGGTACGTTTTCCCTCATGCATCAACTGCTTTTTAAGCAATTTTATTTGTGCTTTATATCTGGTCTTCCAGTTTTTGATTTGGACACATCTATATTGCCTTGACTGCTCCATTGACACAAACGCTTGAATTCTGTGGAGGTTTTGATGTGCTTTAGTGTCTTCCTTATTGCATTTGATGTCTTGCGGGGCTGCATTTTTGGTTTATTAGTTGTATATTTAATTAGACTGAGATGAATTATTCACCATTTGCTTTCCTCTTTATTTCATGAAATCTAAGAGAGAACTAATAAAGCATAGCGGCCTCACCTGTATTTGACCTGGTTGAATTCTCTTGCAGCCTCATCAGTGGTATGTGTAGTGGTGCAAGTAAGACTAGTATTGATCATAGAAATTAATTAGTTATCATAATGGCCGGATATTCACCTGTCGACACCCCACAGTGAGAAGGGAAGAGTAAAGAGGAACAGGATGAACCTGCAAACACCCTTTAGTGATGCTGCCATCTTCCTACTTCTTTGTATTCCTCATTAGCAAATATTTCAGCAGCATAGCACATCAAATAAAGCATACTATTTCTAAACAAAATGATTCAAGAGTTTTTGTGTGTAATTAGGTACCTTTCTAATGATGTATAGTTATATGCTGCCTGCATGTTAACAGGTAACCTTGCAGTTTTTCTGTAAAATAAAATTATTATTGTTATTATTATTATTTTCTAATTATTATATTGTTTGATTTATGCTTAAATACTCTATTTTAATAATGAAAGTGCTATTACAAGAGTAATATTTCTTATTTTGTTTAATATTTTTATTTAGCATATATTAATAATCATAATTATTTATTTTTAGTCATATGGTGTTCTTTATATATATATATGTGTGTGTGTGTGTGTATATATATATGTGTGTATATATATACACACGTATATAATATATATATTGTATATTGTTACTGTTAATTTATTTTATAAATTGCATTTTAAATCACAAATTGCAATTTTAACCAAAAATAAAAATTGCAATTAGATTTATTTCCCAAATCGTGCAGCCCTGATATTAATGTTTTCACTGTAATGTATATGGTAATGTATATTTGAATGCCATAATTTAGGCCTAAACTACATATGATCAGATTGCTGTTTTTGTTCATCAGTTGTTAACAACAATTACAGAACATGATCTTATAAATAAACAAATAATAATAGTCACACAATCCCATGCATATATGTGTATTTAAATGTATATTTTTATGTGACATAATGACTGTATTGATACTTCAGGATTTATTGAGCCTTTCGTAGTTTTACTGTACCAGCTCAACCGGTACATCCTCAGATCTGAGTCATGTATTGTTCCTGTTTCCCATCATGTCGTTTGCTGTTAATACATTGGCTTCTTTCTTGTTTTTGCATCACAGAGCCCATCATTGTGGAGGTGGTTTTCCGTAACCCCCTGAAGGTTCCTTTGGCTTTGTCGGCTCTGTCTCTGCTGTGGAAGTTTACTCTGAAAGGCTTCTCTGACCCTCAGGGCGGCGCAACCGGAGAAACCGTCAGCAATGAGAAAGAAGTAAGGCTGTTAATTGTCTCTCGTGCCTGAGGTGCCTGAGGTGCCCAGCTTTGAGTTTCTCATCAGTTTGATTTGAATCCATTCCAGACCACGGCCCTCAATGACATCATTGATACGCAAGTCATTCCAGAGTTCACCATAAGTCCAGAGGAGACCAAAGTGGTTCGTGCACCTTTTTCTCTTATCTCTCCTCTTCTAATTTCTCTTTTTCCCCATTGCTTTACCTGAATGGACTTTTTGTTCTTGTGTTTGTTCTGGGCTGTCTCTCTCTCGCTTTCTCAGGCCCGTTTGAAGTTGCTTCCTCATAAGACCGGAGAGTTGCATGTTCTTGGTGTGGTGTACAACCTGGGCACTGGAGAAGTGGGCAACAGTGAAGGTGTATCACAAACACTCAATCTTTGATGTTTTGTAAACTCTGAGACCAACAGTTAAAGTTATTTATCTGATGTAACACTAACTGTAGATGTGACTGGTTTGTGTTGCAGGCTCGCTGGCCGAGGATCTGATGTGTGTTCGTGGACAGCAGAATCTGGAGATCCAGGGACCCAGACTCAATATGACCAAAGAAGAAAAGACTTCTGTCAGATATGGACCAGACCGCCGCCTGGACCCCATTATCACTCCACCTATGCCCTTACTGGAGGTGTGTTTGAGGGTGTCAAATTTTGATTTTGAGCTTTAATAAACTACAGGAGCTAGAATGGTCCTGAGAACTGAGAGCAGCTCTAGTATAAAAGCACTCGTCACAGTTAAACTGAGACAGTTTAATGATTTACTGTGCTCATATTGCACTGCAAGGCCTGAGTGATTAATTGAACATTCACTATATATTCAGAATGAATTTGGTGGGGATATATAAAATGAAGCTATATATTGTGAATATTGCAGTGATTTAAATTATTTTTATTTAAATAATTTATTAGTGTCTATGTTTTAAATGTCTGGAAAAATCAAGTAAGAGCAAGTTCAGTTTATTTATTTTTTCATCTGTTCAAAATATCTGTATCACTTGTAGAAATAGTTTATCCAAAATTGAAAATTTACTGAAAATGTATCACCCTCAGGCCATCCAAGATGTAGATGAGTTTTTCTTCATCACAACACATTTGGATAAATTTAGCGTTACATCACTTGCTCACCAACGGATCCTCTGCAGTGAATGGGTGCCGTCAGAATGAGAGTCCAAACAGCTGGACAGTCCAAAAACATCACAATAATCCACAAGTAATCCACATGACTCCAGTCCATCAATTAACAACTTGTGAAGTGAAAATCATATCCATCATTTTTAGCTTCAATCCTTTGCTTCTGGATAAAATATGAGTCCTCTATCTATAATATTGCTTTCTTCGGTGAACAAGTCATCTCATCTGAATCAGGAGAGAAACATGCACAAACTAAGCACAGTTTACAAGCAAAAACAGCCCAAAACAGTTCTAAACAAATATGTCGGTGGATTTTGATTTGAGAGGACAACAGAGGATGGATTTTTTTTTCACTGGAGGAAGTTTTAATATGGATTATGGACTCATTATGGAGCCAGAAGCAACAGTATAAAGTTAAGAACATCTTAATGATGGGTTTGTTTATTAAAAACACGCAGCTTTTCACTTTACAAGAAATTAATTGATGTACTGGAGCCTTGTGGATTATTGTGATGTTTTTGTCAGCTGTTTGGACTCTCATTCTGACGGCACCCATTCACTGCAGAGGATCCAATGATGAGCAAGTGATGTAATGCTACATTTCTCCAAATCTATTCAGATGAAGAAACAAACCAATCTATATCTTAGATAACCTGAGGTGAGTAAATTTTCAGCAAATTTTTGCTTTTGGGAGAACTATTCCTTGATCTTAATCAAATTCTGATTCAATGATTCATTTGACTCAAAAATGTTGGTATTATAATGAAGATTTTGGTTCACTTGTTGAAGTCCCAAAATTAAGTCTTTTTACAGAAAGATCACAAAAAAAGCCTGTCAAGCTGGCAAAAATCATATGTTCCAATGCTTCTAAGATTCAGGGTGCCCACGTGAGGTCTTCTGAGGAAGTGGATTTAAGTTTTTATTTCAAGGCATTGAATCTCTTTTGAAAAAGATGGTGTACAAAGTCCTCAAGCTTTGTGTTTTAGTTATGTCTGTGAAATAATCAGTAATTACTGATTTTGGACTGAAAGACTTTGACTGAGATCTATGCTTTTATGTGAATAAGTTTGCACTTTGCACTCGATTGTTGTGATAATGTCGATTTCATACATGTAACAAAAAATGATTAATTATGGTTTTTACTAGGGATGCACCGATACCACTTTTTCCAGTACTCGCCTAATACCGATACTTCTATTTTTGGTACTTGCCGATACCGAGTACCGATACCGATATTTTATATTTTATATACCGATCAATACATTTTTTAAATATTGGGTACAGAAACCAGAAGGGTATGTATAATGTTAGTTGGTTAACTTCATTTATCAAATAGATAGTCAAACCAAAATTTATTCAGACACCTTCAACATTTCTCACATTATCACAGTTTATTCGCTATAGTTTAGAAACTCGACAAGCTCGCGCATCTGTGCCGCCGCGCGCTCGATCCACTCAGCGTCCTTTGTTTATCAGCTCGCGCACATCAGCTATACAGGCGTTAATACTGAATGTTTAACATTATATTCATTGCATACATATACTTTGTAGTAGACATCCTTAACTCCATTCTGCTGTCTGTTGTTCTGTTGTCGGTGTTTCTTTGTTTGAATATGGTGCTTATCACATGCTGTGTGGTATCAGCGTTTGGTATCGGGGCATTTTAACGAGTACGAGTACAGGAGCTCAGTATCGGGCCCGATACCAGTATCGGTATCGGTGCATCCCTAGTTTTTACTGTGATTAACTGTGGCTTTGCTCTCTGTTTAACCCTTTCAGGCCCAGACACAATTCCTTTCAAACATTTGATTTTCTTGGCTTGACTAAGTCAAAATCAGAATGGTTTTATATGCATCATCTCATGTATCATCTTGTGAAAGATTCAGTTAGACTGATATTCTAGTCATGAGAGGCATTTTTTTATTTTGCTAACACTCTTGAAAGGTTTTAACAAAGTCAGTCCAGATTCATTTTAAGATCGATTTTTTTATTATTATATCACCATGAAAAAGCAGTAGAATCCATTATGAAGTTAAAAACCGTTTTGTAGTATCCTTACAAAATACTAATATTTTATTATTATGTTACATTTAACATTTTGCAGCACTTTGCCTTCAGTAACACTGAAATTAGTAACACATCATTAACAGAAATTCATATTGTAAGCAGTTTATTTTATTTTATTTCTGTTTTATTTTATTTTAGCCCTAAATTATTTTTTTTCTTCCTGCCCCTGGCAGGGTTAAGTGGCGGTTCTTTGCAAGAGTAAGCTACATGTGCGCCAGACTTTATGCCAATAGTCAAACTTCTGTTAGGTCAACCATGTAATTACTGTTTCTCTTTCCTTTTCCACCTAGGTGTTTTTCATTAACTTCCCCACTGGTTTATTGTGTGGTGAGATCCGAAAAGCGTGGGTGGAGTTTGTAAATGTGAGTGCAGCCCCTCTCACTGGTCTTCGGGTGGGGTCCACACACCCAGAGTTCTTCACATTTGGCAGTGCCGCCTCTGACCTCACCCCAGTGACCCCCACAGCAGCAGAGCACTGTTCCGCATACAAGACTGTGGCCATGCCCCCATCAGTGGCGACTGTGTCACCAGCAGCGTTCGGGGTCACCAGCGGTGATCAGTTGGTGGTGACGGAGATTCCCTTATCACGAGGTGTGTTGGGACCTGGGGAGGCGTTACAGATCCCACTGTGGCTCAGGGGGCCTGACCAAGAGGGTGTCCATGAAATCAACTTCCTCTTTTACTATGAGAGTATACTTTTATATATAGTTTATGTATAATATATGAATACTATTATAAATAATATGGTAATAATAGTTAATAAATTAATGTCATTGTCCATACAAATGCTGCTGTGATTATTAGTAACAATAATAATATAGTTATAATATTAATACTAATAGTAATATTAGTAACAATATTGCTATTTTATATAGTGTTTATATAATCCTTGCTAATACTTTTATAAATAGTAATAATATGGTAATAATAGTGAAAATAATATAAATAGTTTTTATAAAAATGTTATGCGATTACTGTCAAACTCAGGTACGTGGCCATTTTAGCTTTATTTGGACTAATAATGGACAATACAGAGAACTGTGCAGGGTTTGTTTAAGCAGGATTTCTCAGGCCAGTGTGAACTGGCCAGGCCAGAACTGATTAATTCACTAAGTGCACTTGGATTTATGGGTTCAAGCCTTTGTCTTATTTTCATTTTGCATTCTAGGAAATTAAATGCAACTAAGACTTCACATGGTAGTAGTAGCAGCCTATTGTTTAAAGATATGTATATATTTTTTTTCACTAAAACTTAAGTATACTTTTTAAAGTGTATTGCAATATTTGTATAGCAAAGAAATATATTTGTAATTATATATATATATATATATATATATATATATATATATTAAAATACAAAAAAGTAACAATAATAATATAGTTATAATATTAATACTAATAGTAATATTAGTAACAATATTGCTATTTTATATAGTGTTTATATAATCCTTGCTAATACTTTTATAAATAGTAATAATATGGTAATAATAGTGAAAATAATATAAATAGTTTTTATAAAAATGTTATGCGATTACATTTATGTAATAGTTATAAATATGGAGCAGGTTTTGTAATGTAAAAGTACATTAGTTCTTTATATTTATCTAATTATTTATACAAACAATACCTGTGAATGCCATTGTTTCCTGTTAAAAGCAAAGTGGTGTAGTGGTGTTAGTTGAGACCCAAAAATGGCATCATTTAACACAATAATTAGAAATGTGAAAATATTGGTTCCTGTGTCGTCTCAACTGTACTAATAAAGGCAGAATCTCCAAAATGCTGAGCAGTTGTGGTTTTGTGCTGTTAAGTGGCTGATAATCAAACATAAGCGTATGCTTTTTCATTTGGAAATTTGCTGTCTGCCGTTTAAAGAGGACTAATTGACCTTTAACATCATTTAGAGTTTGAAAACTACCACATGAATTCCAGTGACTCATCTTCGTTTCTCTGAAACTTTTAGTCACAGGGTCCTTCGACACACTGCTTTCATCTGCGCAAGCCGCTCTCTCAGCGTCAGAGCCATGGCCAGCCGCAGCAACACACTGCACGGCAGAGAGAGAGAGACAGAAGAACAGCAAGAAGCAGAGGAGAAAAACGGCAGCATGTTGGTCTTTGTGGATGTGGAGAACATTAACACAGTGAGTTCTTTCCCACACATGGACTGCTCATGTTTTTCTTTTTCATTTTAATACTTTCTGTTCTTGCACTTCATGAAACATGTGAACACTGTGGCATTAGGGATGCACAGATGTGAAATTATGATGGGCTTTATCTCAACTTGTATGCAAAGATTCAAGTTTAGGAGGATTATAATACTAGTATATTATATTAATGTATCATATTAAATTGACAGTCCAAATCATTAGTGTTCACACAGTCACCATCCATTCCTCTGAGATCTGAGTTGATTTCTCTGTGGAGATCAGTTTAATCTCATCTCTCGTGAATGATGTGTGTTGATTTGACTCTTTTCTCTCTGTCTCTGTCAGAGTGAAGCAGGTGTTCGTGAGTTCCACATAGTTCAGGTGTCCAGCAGCAGTCGGCAGTGGAGGCTGCATAAGTGCATCAACCCTGTGGGAGATAAAGGTATGAATCCTCCAGTATGCTCTGGTTACATGCACTTAGTCGCTTAGCAGACACTTTCACTCCTCCTGCAGCCACCTGGGGTTAAGTGCATTGCTCCACATTGCTTGGTAGACTGTGGATCGCTCCTTTATTTGGTTCCAAGTAGTGGTCGACCGATATGGGTTTTTTGACAGCCGATCTTGGAAAGCAGGGTGGCCGATGGCTGATATAAAGCCGATATAATTTTATTTATTTAAATTTATATTTAAGAAATTTGAAATCATTTGAAAATGGATTTAAAATAATTGTGTAAAATAAACATACTTATACTTTAGAAGACAAAGCATTTTCACAAATAAATAAATATTTAATAAAAATCTAATTAAAAAGGAAGTAAACACTGTAACCTACAGGGCACTCAGTATTCTGGGAAGTTTGTGTGCATTGGGAATTTTTTATTTTTTTTCTTCAAATAAAGCCAAGGTAGCACTCATTTTACATACAGCACGCAATGAAAATGACACGAATATGACAGTGGGCAAATGCATAAAGCGCAGCATAATTTGAAATCAGTCACGAGTTTAAAGTATGCCGATCGCGTGTCTCCAGTGACGACCGTCACGCAGAGAACATGCGATCATGCAGGATACAAATGCACACTTCACAAGATCTCAACTAGATTCGACTGCAAGGTTTGTGAAATTAAATGTTCATTCATTAGTCATTTAAAGATTTGTTTAAATGATATAAATACGTATTTGCTGAATGCTGACGGCAAATGAGAATGTATTATAATGTTTGCAAGCAATCGTTATAATACTTTTTATATACATTTTAATTCCTTTGTTTAACAGTTCTATCTGATTATTAGATAGACTTCTATCCGTATTAGACAGAACTGAATGACAACAGCGAACAAGAGGGAGAATGTGAGCACTGTGTGCTCAGGTGCTATCGCAGCTGTTCTCGGCGCCGTCAAAATAGAAGTCCCGCCTCTAACACATCGGCCAAAAAAAAAAACTTATCGGCCGATGCCGCTATTTGAAAAATGCCAAATATCGGCTGATATTTCGGCCTTGGCGATATATCGGTTGACCACTAGTGGCTTGGAGCCAGTATGAGTTTTTTCCTCCATCCAACAAAAAACGAGATGCATAGCAAAATATCCACAATTCATAATGGTGGTCCTTCATAAATGATGTTATTTCCTCTTGTCTCATCTCAGATTAAAAACAATAGCTTGATTCTTCTCGTTTACGCCTAGTGTTTTTTTATCAAATTGTTCTCTACTCTTTGGTAGAGAACCACTTTCTTAAAATATAAAGGCAGCTATGTATTTGCATGTATTAAAATAACATTTATACTGTGTAAAATACTAAGTATAGTGTTGTGTATTTTTTTTCATACATTATAAATTGCTTCCTGTATAAACCACCTTTATATTTTAGGAAGGGGGTCTCTCGCAAGGGAATTGTCATATTTGGGGGTCCATCTGTTGTTCCTTTGAACCATCAGACGGATTTGTTTTGAGGTGCTGTGAAAAGAGCGATCTGCCTACATTAATCCATATGTACTGTACCTCCAGCACTGTGAATATTGATGCAGAGGAACTTGATTGCATGCCAGCAGGGCAAGCAGAGTATCAAAAGAAGCTGGGAGTGGGTACAGACACGTGATGATACACTCCATGACCTGCAGCCTTTAAATGGCCTATTGAAAGTGGGTCACATTGCATTTGTGTTGAGTCTTCTGTACGGCTGATACTGAGAGAGAAACGCGCTGCAGAAAGTGATGCAGCAGCTCTGAAATGCTGAGATGAAATTAGGCCACTTTGAAATTGTGCTGAGTGTGTAAAACATGCAGGCATACGCATTTTAGTGGCTAACTAAATTGAAAATTGAATCCCGTGCATGTGTTCGTCTCGTACCGTCAGCTTGGATGAGGCGAATACATTTAATAATGTGAAAATATGTGGACAAGAACTTGTGGCTTCAATGCATCTTTAACCGAGCGCACCACTTCTAAAGCTAAATCGGTGTCTGCTTGTTAAGTGTGTGAACTTGTAAAATCAATCTTCTGTTTCATACAGAAGCCCAGCGACTGGTGTTGTTTATCTGTATTTATGTTTTAAGCTACATTGGCTTTTGGACGTTTTTTAATTCAGTACTTTTAATTAATTTATTGGTCTGAAGGAAAAGAGTGACTTCAGCCTGAGGAGATGGAGCAGGAACCTACAGCTACAAACAAATGAAGAATACTGCCTTGTCATTAGTCTTTGAATGCAGAAAAAAAATTTCTATTCAACTTTTGGCTCCAGCCAACCACTGTGTTAGCATCTTAGGCTTGAGACATGAAAGGACACTGAGCATCATGGAATTTAAAGGTCTTGAGTTTTGAAGATCTAATCTGAACATTTGATCTGTTTGATCTGTTGTTCAAAAAGGCTTCATACATTTCTTTGTTTCTCACACTTAATGGGCCAGTTCACCCAAAAATGAATATTCTGTCATCATTTACTTGCTTTCGTGTCGGTTCAAATCTTGGAAACAGAAATGAAGATATTTTCCATGAAACTTAAGAGATTTCTGTCCCTCCACTGAAGTCCATTCCGCCAATGCTTCAAAAAGTTTATAAAGACTGTGTGAAAGTAATCCATATGAATAGAGCGGTTTAAACCCAAGCCTTCCGAAGAGATACAATCTCTTTATGTAATGAACAGATTCAATTTAGGCTTTTATTCATTTGTAAATATTCTTCATTTGCGTTCTGAATATGAACAAAACTCTTAGGGATTTGGAACGACATGATGGTGAGTGAACGATGACAGAATATTTATTTTTCACAATTCCATATGACTTTCTTCCATAGAGCACAAAAAAGTCTTCTGAAAACATACAATAACTTTGTGTAAGGAAATTTAAGTTATCCATTCATATTAGTAATTTCATTCTCTTCTGCAGCTCTCAAATCTCATTCACACTTCAGCATATTCAAAAACAAAAGTCAGTGACATCAAACTTGGCGTGACATATCTTATTATTTTGAATATGCATAAGCGCAAATGAGATTTGACAGCTGTGACAAACGATTTTTGTAAATAATTACTTTTTGGACTGTTACGCGCACACAACTATCATATGGTGTATTAAAATAAGTGTAATTATGACCTGAGTTCACATGAAGATGCTGAGTTCATAAATGCAGTGGCTAATTAAAACTAAAACTTTGAAGCAATAATAAAGACACATGGAAAGCAACTTGTAAAATATGGAGCAAGGGCAGCAAAACGCACTTTAAAATTCTGACTTTGCTTTGAAGAGTTAATTAACTGGCCTTGACATCTGAACTGTTTTTCTTTATTTGATTCTCTGATGTGGTAGCAGTAAAAAGAGATTTTCTGTGAAGAAATGGATGAGCACTCATCATCTTTCTTGTTTTTGCCTTCATTTCGTGTTGTTTGCAGACTCTAAGCTGGCCAGCAGGGAGAGAGGGAAGCTGTGCTTCAAAGCCACCAGATGCAGAATGGAGGAAGGTGGGGCGTCCAGTCCACACACATGCACACAAACCCTCATGCATTTTATGTATTTCCATTCCATGCAAAATTTGCACCATTGCATAAATTCTGTCTGGAAAGACCAAGATGTGAATCTGATTTCCAAAATGCACATTAAAACTCTGTTGAGGTGGACAATTTTCTTATTGAATCGAATAAATTCTTAGATGTGACTTTGCCTCCACAATCACAGCTGCTCACAGCCAATGAAAATACAGCAAACTGGTTAACATACTGAAGTTTGAATATACTGACATTTTTTTCCCTCAATGCCTCAGCTACTTCAGATGCAGCAGAAAAATACACCTTTGCCGACCTCAACCTTGGCAACGAACAAGTGAGAATGCCCTTTTGTTCTCACTACTAGTTCAGACCGATACTGAGAATTAAAGGGGTCATATGATGTTGCTAAAACGAACATTATTTTGTGTATTTGGTGTAATGAAATGTGTGTATGAGGTTTAAAGTTCAAAAAACACATTATTTTCCACATACTGTACATTATTGTTTCTCCTCTATGCCCCGCCTTTCTGAAACGCATCGATTTTTACAAAGCTCATCGGTCTGAAAAGTGAGGTGTGCTGTGATTGGCCAGCTATCCAGTGCGTTGTGATTGGCCGAATACCTCAAGCGTGTAACGGAAATGTTACGCCCCTTAACATACTGTGATGCCATGTCCCGGCACGACGAGACAAAACCAATAAAACCCATTATAAACGAGGCATTTGTTGCATCCAGTGGGGTCCTCTTTTGGAAGGCCAAACAAAATAGTTTCGCTTTCACAACGAAATACATGGCGGGCTAGAGTGAGCGGAGGCCGGCAGCTAGAGTGAGCGGCGGCGGGTGGGCTTGAGAACGGCGCGGCCGGTGGGCTTGCGGCAACCACATGCAACGACCCCGGGCTGGACTCCGCTTCGTCCACGGTGAAAGCCGATCCGGCGATCCACAGCGTGAAGTTGATTTATTTCCTCAGCAACCAGCACGGATCAGCTCTAGGCATGACAAAGCAGATATCGTCCTCTTTTGGAAGG